TACTGCTTTTACTTTACTTTTTTGCTTAATTGTTCTTACTGTTCTGAACCCACCTCGAGGTCACTAAGCTCGAGGTCACTGCTGCTGAGTTATATTGATTTGATTCAATTATTTCTTTCACTTCTACTTCATATTTCTTGATTAATAATTGGTATTTAATCTAATCACATATCTTTAAAACTACAAATCAAATTTACTTGTTACTCATATTTTCGAGGTAAATAGTTTGGCGCCCACCGTGGGGCTAAAGATAATAGTGATTATTTGTTTATTGACTCTCATTACACACGTTATTTTTACACTTTTTCTTGTCAAGACTTTTTTATTCTCAAGCTGAAACATGTCTAGCTCACAAAATGCCCCTGTTCATGACAACGAAGGTCTTGGAGAACACAACAATATAGGGGTCGGTGTACCACTGGTAAACCCAAGGGAAATGCTAAATATGGAACCAGTTGATATTAGTTCGCACATTGCTTTGAACGCAGATCGAGGCACAGACCCCGGAGGGAGTGTACGCAGGGAAGCCCGACCTGGAGGCCAAGGAACACCAGGAATAGGAGATGGGGGAGTCAGCCTCCAAGTAATATTCGAGATGCTGCAAGCCCAGCAAATCGCCATCCTCAACTTCGGAGCCAGAACAAAACTCCGAGTATAGCTGAACCGGAAAACACTCGACGTGCTGTACTGGCGCCAGAGAGGTCAAACGAAAATTGCTTGGGGATTGACTGCACTATTATGAGAATACTCGGAGAGCTCGCCAAGAGGATAGAGTCCGAGGAAAAGAGGATTGAGGATAAGACAAAAAAGTGGAGACTTATAACTCCTGTGTCGATCAAATACCGGGAGCTCCCCCGATCTCGAAGGGATTGGATGCCAAGAAATTCGTACAAAGGTCGTTCCCTCCGAGTGCGGCTTCGAAGCCTATCCCAAAGAAGTTCTGTATGCGCGATATACCTAAATACAACGGAACCTCTGACCCAAATGAACACGTTACTTCTTACGCATGCGCCATAAAGGGAAACGACTTGGAAGACAACGCAATCGAGTCTGTACTGCTGAAGAAGCTCGGGGAGACTCTATCGAAGGGTGCCTTAATATGGTATCATAACTTACCCCCTAATTCTATTGATTCGTTTGCTATGCTTGCAGATTCTTTTGTAAAGGCACACGCCGGAGCCATTAAAATTGCAACAAGAAAGTCGGACCTTTTCAAGGTAAGGCAGAAAAATAACGAGATACTCAGGGATTCGTATCTCGATTCCAAGCGGAGAGAATGGATTTGCCTCCAGTCACCGATGACTGGGCTATTCAAGCTTTCACTCAAGGTCTCAACACTCGGAGTTCCATAGCGTCACAGCAGTTGAAGCAAAGTTTAATCGAGTACCCGGTTGTCACTTGGGCCGACGTACATAATCGGTATCAGTCGAAGATTAGGGTCGAAGATGATCAACTTGGGGGCCCTTCGGGGTCCGTTTATCCTAGCAGGATCATGGATAGGATCGAAGGGATATCGATCGAGAGCCGGGGTCGAATAGAGATCGATATCAACCATACTAAAGAGACTATAGAGGCAGCGGTTCCGGGCAAAGCTTCACATGAAATGAGAGGAGAAATGATCGAGGTCAAAATTCACGGGGGCTTGATGCCGAGGAAGATCACGTTAAGTATCCAAAGTTCAAATAAAGGTAAGACTTCAGTCCAATCTTTTCTACTTTTTCGACTAACACTTGCAGGCTATCGATAAGGATTGGCACGAAGCTCTGAATCTTGAAGCACGTGTTGCACTCTTTTTCCCTCGGACCGATTTTTGTCCCAAATAGGTTTTTCCGGCGAGGTTTTTAACGAGGCAACCGTTGTTCGTGCTAACTAAAAGCAATTCAACAGAATCCGAGGTTTTCTACAAGGGCTTCGATAGGCAAGTGTTGTAAGGGCCAAACGGTCAGATGAACCGTGCCCGTGTAGGTTACTCGAGCCCTAGACATCAAGCATGCACGCATGTAAAATCATCTATCAAAAGAAGTACTTTTCCTTGTCGATATCCCCTGCCCTTATTAAATTTTCATATTTTATACTCTTGATCTATTGTGTAAACAGGCTTAAGGGCCGACCGCGGCAGAAATTCGAACAACTGACCCTTGCTTGAGGGCTACTATCCCAAAAGTGAATGGAATCAAACTGCTAATATTTCGAGACCGTAAGACCTTAAAGGCAATCCTTGATTTTGCGGGTCACGGCCACCCACTTGGGGACTGACACTTCGGGCAAGCTCGAAGTGAAATGGAAGATCAACCCAAAGGGGAAGTTCCGAACTAAAGAGGCTACGACCAAACTAACACGGATCGGAGACATCCGAAATCTGTGACAAATACAAAAGCCCAAGGGCTACCTTAGCCCGAGTTCGAGCAAACCCTCACTCGGAGACCGCCTATGAAGCTTACGGGCTAACTTTACTTCGAGTTCGAACAAATCCTCACTCGATCATAAAAGCCCAAGGGCTATCTTAACCTAAGTGCAAGCATGTCTCGAACACTCGAGGACTATTTACTCGAGCTATCTGAGTTCGAAATAATAAGACCTCAAAGAGGCATCCCCGATATATAAGCCAAGGCCATCACACTCGGGGACTAATATTTCGAACAAGTTCGAAATGTTATCGGGAAACAAGTTCAAGAGACATACCCGAAGGCTACGACCATAAGAGTACGGTCATATAAAAAGGCTACGACCGAAATAATCGGCTCGGAGACGTCCGACTTCCGCCATAAAATAAAGGCCTTCAAACACTTTGAAAAAAAACGGTTGAATCAGGCTACCCTCGGCAAAAGCAAATGATAAAGGACTTCGATAGAATCAGCCCTCGAATAAGTTAAAGGCTTCGATAACATCAGCCTTCGAAAAAGCCTTAAGAGGTATTCGATTGTCGTTACACAAACGAATTACAAATAAGGTTTCGATCGGTCGAACCTTCGAAAAACCCAACGGGTACAAGAAACACATGCTAAGGCATAGAAAAATTTTCACTAAGTCTTTTAGCCGAAAAGAGGGAAAAATTATAGCCGTTATTAGAGGCCGAATTGGCCCAACTCAAAGAGCCTAAGGGCCGATCCAAAGAGCCTAAGGGCCAATACAAAAGAGCCTAAGGGCCGATCCAAAGAGCCTAAGGGCCAATATAAAAAAGCCCAAGGGCTACCTTAGGCCGAGTTCGAGCAAATTCTCACTCGGGAACTATTTGTAAAGCCTAAGAGCTAACTTTATTTCGAGTTCGAGCAAACGCTCACTCGACTACTAGGCCCAAGGGCTATCCGAGTTCGACAAAATCTTCACTCGGGGACTATCTATGAAGCCTAAGGGCTAACTTTACTTCGAGTTCGGGCAAATCCTCACTCGACTATAAAGCCTGAGGGCTATTTTTCATTTCAAGACCGAGCATATACTCACTCAACCATCAAGCCCAAACCTCATCTACTGTTTGGCCTAGGATCTACTCAAACTCAAGTTCGAATGATCATTCAGGGTCCTTCGATCAGAAACGGTCGAGGGCTGTACTTATTATCGGCCATTGCCATCTCGAAACTGTGGACATTCAAAGGGAATTCTAAGACACTCGGACCCGCACAAAAGGGTAACAGATTTCGGAGCCATGGAAGGATAAAAGTTTTGTATAAACCTATTTACAGGGGCTATAGGTCACGATCAAGAGTGCCTCATAAGGGTCGATCAGCCTCAAAAGCGAAGAATCACGAAGAACATGAAACCTAAGCAGCACAATCTTTATCGGCAGAAGCGTCTTCACCCTCAGAATCTTCCCCACCGTCGGACTCGCTAGAGTTCTCGGAGTCGCTCTCGGAAAGGGCCAGCTTCCAAACTTTTGTTCCTCAGTCGCTTACGCCACGATGATGATGTCGTAACAAATCGGGGTAAGGATCAAAGACTCAATTCGTTTCTTATCGTCCTACTAGAAGAAACGCGGGGACTATTATACGGTCGGAATCGTATGCCTCCAATCTGTAGGCTCGAGGGGTCATCTTGAGCCCGAGTTCAGGCGAGGTCGAGTTCGAGCTCGAAGGACCAAGAGCTCGAGGATAGAGTGCAATGCCCGAATATTGAAGCACGATGTACACCGAGGTCGAGTATGCTCGATCCCGAAATTGTACCGTTGAGGATTTGTAACAGAATGAGCTAGATTCCTGGCTTCCTGCCATGTCCCCAAGATCATGGTGCGAATCCCGGGATAGGATTGTACGGTTTCGTACTAGGCGGTTAGACAACTGTATTAAGAATATTCTTTAATGTAAATAGAAATATACCTTATTTAGGGTTCCCCTATTATATAAAGAGGACCCCAATCATTTGTAAGATCATCTAATCATTGAGCAAAGAATATACTCTCTACTTTTTGCCTAGTGTTCATCAGAATTGTCCTTTAACTCTACTGCTCTTACTTTACTTTTTTCGCTTAATTGTTCTTACTATTCTAAACCCACCTCGAGGTCATTGCTGCTGAGTTATATTGGTTTGATTCACTTATTTCTTTCACTTCTACTTCATATTTCTTGATTATTAATTGGTATTGAATCTAATCACATATTTTAAAACCACAAATCAAATTTAATTGTTACTCGTATTTTCGAGGTAAACGAACTTGAATATAGAGATCACCAAATTCAAAGAACTATTTTGGTTATTTGAACATACATGTTAATTTATATAGTAGAATTTGACGCGATAAAAGTTTAAGAAAGATTAGTAACATAAAGGGCAATAGAAGATATAATTTGTACAATACAAAGCAACATTTTGGATGTATTTGATACGAAGAAAAATGTTTTTCTCAATTTATTTTTTATAGCAATCAAACAAAACATAGCATTCTTTGCTTATATAAACCAATTGAAGTAATTTCTAAATTTTTAAAAATTGTTGAATAATAAGATAAAAGCTCATTTGAAAAGTATTTTCTTTAGTTTAACTTCATTATTATTATTATTATTATTATTATTATCATTTCTTAAAACCCACACTATAAACCCTCCCCTTATCCTCTGTCTCCCACCAACAATGGCCGGCACGACAGCCGTTCCCTTTCCGTCGACCTCCGTATCTCTTGCCGGCGGCGAACTATTCTTCACAACCCCGAAACTCCGACCATTAAATATCGCCGTCCGTCCGACATCCATCCGGGTCGGGGCTCCAAAGTCATGTCGGGTGAACATTATAACATGCAAAGCTAATCGGTCTGCATACTCGCCGTTGAACTCCGGGTCGAATTACTCCGGCGACCGCCCGCCCACTGAAATGGCTCCGCTTTTCCCCGGGTGTGATTATGAGCACTGGCTTATAGTTATGGATAAACCTGGAGGTGAAGGTGCTACTAAACAGCAGATGATCGATTGTTACATACAAACTTTGGCTAAAGTTGTTGGAAGGTAATTTTTGCTACTTGTTCTAAATTTATAGCTGAATATTTTACAGCCGAATCACATTAAGTCCAATTATAAAAATATAGGCAAAGATTGGAGAAGAAAAGTTTGTGATTACTTGAAAAGATTTTGTGTAGAAAATGAAAAGCTTTTGACTACTTGTAGTATTATATATAGGCAAATATGAGAAGTTTTTGTGTAGGCACTTCACTTGCTGGCTTAAACTGTTGGATTTTGGCTCTGTAGTATTCTTTTAGCGGTGCTTTTCTAGATTGAAAGTAGTTTTGTAGACATTTCAAATGTTAAATTACCAGCTTTTGTTCTGAACTATGATAACTAGTGAAGAAGAGGCCAAGAAGAAGATATACAATGTTTCATGCGAAAGATACTTTGGTTTTGGATGTGAGATTGATGAAGAGACATCGAATAAGCTCGAAGGTTAGTGTTTGGATCAATTTATTGATTCCGTAAGTGAGTAATCAATGCTAATCACAAACTCTCAATGTATCTCAAAGTCTGTGTGCTTTGAAATCTTTACAGGTTTGCCTGGTGTTCTCTTTGTCCTACCAGATTCATATGTCGATCCAGAGAACAAGGATTATGGAGGTACATCTTTTCCTGCTGCTGATCTACCCGTGTTAAGAAGCAAAACATGAACTTTTTCTTTATAATTTGTGTCTGGTCTTTCTACCACAGTGATAACTGGTAACACCTGCTTGGCTAGACGTGCCCTTTGCCCTGTTTGCTATCTTGGAAACCTACCCGTGACTGAGTTACTGTTAGAGCACAGTTATTTGACATTGTTTTAAGCTGTTCCGATGGTTCACACCGTCTCCAAGCTCTCTTTGAAATCGTCGATTACTATTAGGCTGCTCACTGATGTACTGTGTTTTTTGCATTTAAAAATTAGCTCAGAAGCCTCAGATTTGATCCCCAGCGAGGAGAAGAGATCCCTCAGCATTCAAGTAGTTATTAATTGTTTGGCTACACATATACTCCCCTCGAGAGGCATCGTGGTGATGAACCTTTATAGGATAAAACTATTTTGGTCGTTAGTGTTTTATAGTGGTAATAGGAAAGAAATTTGAACCACTTTGATCTGGTTGGCTTATCCCCATCCTGCATGTGTTGCACGCATAGACTTCTTTAGCCTGTTTTTTCTTCGATCTTCTCTTTGATTACAATCTACTGTCAAGCGTCAATGACATCTTCATTGACCTTAGCATATAAAATTCTTGCATCTCATTTCTTTGTTTTTCTTCATTTTCAGTTTTGGATGTGATTGTTGATCTATGAATAAAAATGCTGAAAAGAAACAAGCTTCTTTTGGTATTATATTAGCAATCACGATTGCCTGTCTCTATCTCCTCCTCACATCTTTGTGTTTAGAAAATCCTTTTGTCTATGATTAATAGATCAATCAACTATGCCTCAATCCTGTTGTCTGTGCTAGGAAGTAAATATCCCGCTGCTTCTTATATTTTATGCTCAAAATATTTGTAGCACCTTTGGTTGTCTCCCTGAGTATTTAGGCCCATGGCCCGGCAATGAAGAGTACTAGACATGGTTTATGGCAAATTGAAACAAGGACTTTGAAAATAGTAATAATATGTTTTGAGGTTTGCATCCCTAACATTTTTTCTAATTTGATGATTGTCAGCTGAGCTATGTGTGAATGGAGAGATAGTTCAGAGGTCACCTGAAAGACAAAGGAGAGTGGAGCCAGTGCCCCAGAGAGCTCAAGACAGACCAAGATATAATGACCGAACACGTTATGTGAGGCGCCGTGAAAACATGCGGTGAAGATTGACCTCTGTGTGATAGTACAACGACTACTACTGCTGCGCCTCAATCCCAAGCAAGTTGGGGCTCTGTGTGATAGTTGTCCAGCTTTTTTATCCTCGTTGGGGAAAAAAAGATTATATCATGAAAAGAGAATGTATTAGTCGTTCTTGTTTTCTATTGGTCTGAGCTATTGGAACATTTGATGATTTAGTTGGAACTCTTAAAAAAGTAGGCATTTAATAGTCAGTATGGCTCATAAAGGTCATTCATCTGTAAAGTCATTAGTCTTCTTTGTTTGCATTCTGATATAGTTTTATCTTAAATGTTCTCCTCTCTTCTTCCTTTGCCAAATTGTCCAGTCGGATATGTCGAAAATGGGAATAGCCGACGTCTGCAGAATGCCAGTGTCACACAGCTGCTTCAAAGCCAACTACGATAGCTCCAGCATAAGGGTATTAAACAACAACAGCATACCTAGTATATTCTCACTTAGTGGGATTCGGAGAGGATAGTGTGTACGTAGATCTTACCCCTACCTTGTGGAGGTAGAGAGGCTGTTTCCAATAGCCCCTCGACTCGGGCAGCATACTTAGTGGGATTCGGAGAGGATAGTGTGTACGTAGACCTTAACTTACCCCTACCTTGTGGAGGTAGAGAGGCTGTTTCCAATAGCCCCTCGACTCGGGCAGCATACTTAGTGGGATTCGGAGAGGATAGTGTGTACGTAGACCTTACCCCTACCTTGTGGAGATAGAGAGGCTGTTTCCAATAGCCCCTCGACTCGGGCAGCATAACGGTATTAAGGAAAGGGATTTTCCAAGGATCTAAAACGGCAATCCTTTTTGGGGGCCAAATGCCAAAGTATGAGAAGAAGCCCTAAAGTTAATGAGTCTGGTGTGTTAGTGTGTATGCAATAATTCTTGATAATGTGACACAAACTGTAGTATGCTGTATTCAGGAGTACTATTTAGAAAGTGTGCATACCCTATCAATTCTTGCTCTACGAAATCCTCAATGAATGCGTTGGCAGGTGAAGGTGTTGTTATTTTGGCTGCTGTCAAGATGATTGTGGATTTGCTGTTGAGAAAAGATTTAACTTCTAACTTTACACTATCGATGCATATTAGTGCACACAAGAGTTAAGCGGGTGAAATTCAAAAATAGCCAGATTTACAAGTGGTAATTGAAAAATAGTCACAAGTTTCAAAAGTAAATTGAAATTTAGCCACTCTTCATGTAAAGATAAATCTGAACGAAAACACTGTTCAAAATCCGGAAATATTCCAACATAATATACTGGAGTTCCAGAAGTTCATACATAGGTGCTCAAATCACCAGTATAGTATGCTGGAACTTTCCGTGTGTTGGAGTTCCAGTATAATATGCTTGAAGTTCATACACAGGTGCACCAATCTCCAGTATATTATGCTGGAACTTTCCGTGTTGCAGCAAAATAATGGCTATTTTTCAATGACTTGCAAACGCAGGCTATTTTTCAATTACCAGTCCGGAAACTGGCTTGCCCGTGCTATTTTCACTAGTTAAACTCGTTAAGAAATGTCCCATCAGGTGAAAACCATGAAAGATCAGTGTTCATATTCAGGCCCCCCACCCATGCCCCCCCCCCCCCCCACACTGAAAGATCAGTCGTACATACTCACGCCCCCCCCCCAGGCCCCACCCCCCCCCCCCCCCCACCAAAAAAATAAAAAATTAGGTTACAGTATATCTCAATAGTTGGTGTGCAGAATAACCCAATAGTTGTGCTGTTAGATATTTGCAGGTAGCAAGTGAAATAGTCAGATGCGCGCAAGCTGGTCTGAACCGAAGGTGCTGTCATACTACTGATGGTGTCTTTCATAATTATACTTGGACCTTCATGCCCTTCCCCCCCTGAAATTTTTTAGCTACAACTAATAGCCAGATAACACAACCAGTGTATTTGTTAAGTTAGGTCTTACAATATACATTACACAAGATGGATACAAGGACAAGGTCAACTGATTCCTTAACAGAGCAATTGCAAGATGTTGTCTGGATAACTTTGTTTATGTATCATAAACTTGTGAGTTTCAGAACCACCTGTACATCCAAAGGCAAGAAAGTTTTGTAGAATAGCATGTGCTATAGGAAGTAAGAGCCTACCATTTCGAACTCTATACTCCTCTCTTATCAGATCTAACGAAAAAACTCCCTCTTCTGACAAAAAATCTCTCCATTATGAATCATTTGGAAGCACCCCGACTTATGCTTCAAAATCGCTAAATCTTTCCCTCGTGTCATAGAACTACAAGATCTTAACTCCAAGAGATGTGTTAGAAAGCACGGGAGAAAATATATTATTGATGTATTAAGACAATGATACACTGAGCCCTATATATACACAATACATGTCCTACTCCTAATACATATGGGATTAGGGTTATCTACTACTATTTACACAATGAAACTAACACTCCCCCTCAAGCTGGTGCATATAAATCATATGTACCGAGCTTGTTACATATATAACTAATACGAGGACCAGTGAGGGACTTGGTGAAAATATCAGCAAGCTGATCATTTGACTTTACAAATTTTGTAGCAATATCTCCTGAGAGTATCTTTTCTCTAACAAAGTGACAGTCAATCTCGATGTGTTTTGTTCTCTCATGGAACACTGGATTTGACGCAATATGAAGAGCAGCTTGATTATCACACACAAGTCCCATCTGACTAATCTCACCAAATTTTAGCTCCTTGAGCAACTGTTTGATCCAAATTAGCTCACACGTGGTCATAGCCATTGCTCGATATTCTGCTTCTGCACTAGACCGAGCAACCACATTCTGTTTCTTGCTCTTCCAAGACACCAAATTTCCTCCTACTAAGACACAATATCCAGACGTAGAACGTCTATCAGAAGGTGATCCTGCCCAATCAGCATCTGAGTATCCAACGATCTGCTCATGGCCTCGATCTTCAAACAATAAGCCTTTGCCTGGAGCTGATTTTATATACCGAAGAATGCGAACAACAGCATCCCAATGACTATCACATGGAGAATCCATAAACTGACTCACAACACTCACAGGAAAGGAAATGTCAGGTCTAGTCACTGTGAGGTAATTTAATTTACCAACCAACCGCCTATATCTTGCAGGATCGCTAAGAGGCTCCCCCTGTCCTGGCAGAAGTTTAGAATTCGGATCCATCGGAGTGTCAACAGGTCTACAACCTGTCATTCCTGTTTCCTCAAGAATATCTAAGGCATACTTCCGTTGTGAGATCACAATACCCGAGCTAGACTGAGCGACCTCAATACCCAGAAAATACTTTAATCTGCCCAGATCCTTAGTCTGAAAGTGCTGAAGGAGATGTTGCTTCAACTTACTAATACCATCCTGATCATTGCCGGTAATAACAATATCGTCAACATAAACGACCAGATAAATACAGAGATTTGAAGCAGAATGTCGATAAAATACAGAGTGATCAGCTTCACTACGAGTCATGCCAAACTCCTGAATAACTGTGCTGAACTTACCAAACCAAGCTCGAGGAGACTGCTTTAGACCATAGAGTGATCGGCGCAACCGACATACAAGGCCACTAGACTCCCCCTGAGCAACAAAACCAGGTGGTTGCTCCATATAAACCTCATCCTCAAGGTCACCGTGAAGAAAAGCATTCTTAATGTCCAACTGATAGAGAGGCCAATGGCGAACAGCAGTCATGGATAGAAAAAGGCGGACTGATGCAATTTTAGCCACGGGAGAGAAAGTATCACTGTAATCAAGTCCAAATATCTGAGTATATCCTTTGGCAACAAGACGAGCCTTAAGTCGATCAACCTGGCCATCTGGACCAACTTTGACTGCATACACCCAACGACAACCAACAGTCGATTTACTTGAAGGAAGAGGAACAAGCTCCCAAGTACCACTCGTATGTAAAGCAGACATCTCGTCAATCATAGCCTGTCACCATCCAGGATGAGACAGTGCTTCACCTGTAGACTTAGGAATGGAAACAGAGGACAAAGATGACACAAATGCACAATGGGATGATGAGAGACGATGGTAACTTAAACCGATATAATGAGGATTAGGATTAACTGTGGACCGTATACCTTTTGGTAGTGCAACCGGTTGATTAAGAGGAGACAAGTCCGCAGTATCAGTAGGGTCTGGTGCAGGACGTGAATCAGCTGGGCCTGATGGTGGGGGCGGACGACGATGATAAGTCAGGAGTGGTGGAGCTGTAGAAGGTTGAACTCGACTAGGTGGTGGCACTGGAGCTAGAGTTGGTGGAACTGGACTAGGTGGTGGCACTGGAGCTAGAGTTGGTGGAACTGGACTAGGTGGTGCCTGGACTAGGTGGTGGAGCTGTGAACTGGAACTGTAGGCGGTGGAGCTATGGAGGAAGATGAATGGGAGATAGGGACTGAATCCCCAAAAGAAGGAACAGGTAGCACCTCAGAAATATCTAAGTGATTAACTGGACCTGTGAAGTATGATTGGGTTTCGAAGAAGGTAACATCAGCAGACATAAGAAATCGATGGAGGTCAGGAGAATAACATCGATATCCCTTTTGCGTTCTCGAGTAACCCAGAAATATGCACTTAAGAGCACGAGGAGCTAACTTATCTTTTCCTGGAGTAAGGTCATGAACAAAACACGTACTCCCAAAGACACGGGGTGGAAGAGAGAACAAAGGTAAGTGGGGAAACAGGACAGAGAATGGAACTTGATTTTGGATAGTTGTAGATGGCATACGATTAATAAGATAACAAGATGTAAGAACTGCATCCCCCCAAAAACGCAGCGGAACATGAGATTGTATGAGTAGGGTACGAGCAGTTTCAATAAGATGTCTATTCTTTCTTTCAGCTACCCCATTTTGTTGGGATGTGTACGGACAAGATGTTTGATGAATAATCCCATGGGAGTTCATAAATTGCTTAAATGGGGAAGACAAATACTCTAGGGAATTATCACTACGAAATGTGCGGATAGAAACCCAAAATTGATTTTGAATTTCAGCATGGAAGGTCTGGAAAATAGAAAACAACTCAGATCGGTTTTTCATCAAAAATATCCAAGTGCACCTGGAATAATCATCAATGAAACTGACAAAGTAGCGGAATCCTAAGGTAGAGCTAACCCGACTAGGACCCCAAACATCTGAATGGACTAAAGTAAAAGGTGACTCTGCTCGATTGTCAAGACGTCGGGGGAAATGGGAGCGGGTATGCTTACCGAGCTGACACGACTCACATTCTAGAGTGGACAAGTGAGATAAGCCAGGTACCATTTTCTGAAGTTTTGACAAACTGGGATGTCCAAACCGCTTATGTAATAAATCTGGTGAATCAGTAACGAGAGAAGTTATTGGAGGAAGACAAGATGCGAGTCCATGTGATTTTGCAAGGATAAGGTAATAAAGTCCATCTGATTCACGTCCGGTACCAATGATCCGCCCTGTACTGCGTTCCTGTATAAAAACAAGGTCATCAAGAAATAGAACAACAGATTTAAGTGATTTGGCTAAGCGACTAACGGCTATGAGATTAAACGGACTACCAGGAACATAAAGAACTGAGTCTAAAGGTAAGGAAGGAAGTGGACTTGCTTGACCTATTGCAGTTGCCATGGCTTGAGACCCATTGGCCATTGTGACTGTTGGAAGAGATTCAGAATATGAGATACTAGTGAAAAGAGATTTGTTACCAGAAATATGATCAGATGCACCTGAATCAATGACCCAAGACTCAGAAGGTGAAGATTGGGAGACACCGGTCATGCTACTATTTGTTGGAACAACGGAGGTTAGTCCTGAAGATGTGTGTTTACGTGCTTTGTACTGAAGGAACTCAATATAATCCGGTAAAGAAACCATTTGGATTGGATTTGTTGCATTTAATCCAACGGATTGTGAGTTAATGGCTTCAGGTACGAATTCCATTATAATATCGTGCCGGAAAAAGCAGAAAATTGCTGGGATCACTGTTCACGCCGGAAAAATCACTTTAGCTTGCCGGAAAATTCCAAAGTTGTCGGAATCTGTCGGAAATAGTACCAATGGACTCGGAATTGTGAGGTGAGCAAGCTGTCCTGAAGAAATTTCGCGAAAAAGTGGCCGGAAAAGGTGTCACGCGCCGGAAAAATCAGTGTAGTCACCGGAAAAACTCAAAGTGGTCGGAATCAAACGAAAAAGGTATGGACAGACTCGGAATTACTAGGCGATCCGACTGTCCAACTGGAAGATTTTCAAAAAATGGCCGAAACAGTGCTCACGCGCCGGCGCGTGGGGGCGCGTGGGTCAGATTTGCCGGAATATCGCCGGCGCGTGAGGGCGCGTGATGGGGTGTTTTCCGGTGGGGTTTACTGGGGTTTGGTCGCCGGAGCCTTGGGAACCCTGTGGTGGTGTTGGTTTTTGCACAACACTGATAATTAGTGACTTTGACGCAATTAGTCACTTAGGTCACCGGAAAATTGCACGGTGACTGAGTTGTTTCTTCCCGGATATCGTTGGAATGACACACAACGATAAATTTCTCACGGTTGCTCTGATACCATGTGAGAAAGCACGGGAGAAAATATATTATTGATGTATTAAGACAATGATACACTGAGCCCTATATATACACAATACATGTCCTACTCCTAATACATATGGGATTAGGGTTATCTACTACTATTTACACAATGAAACTAACAAGATGAATATGATCGTTGCAGCAAGGTTGCGACTTGAACAATCTGTTAAAAAGTATGTACAAAAGGGTAGTCATCTGAACGGTTCAATCGGCTCAGTCTCTTGCAGAAGTATAGCTGCTTGAAAGCACTCGGCTGCTTCCATTGATGCACCTTCCTCTTTGTAAACCAGGCCAAGATTATGCCATGCAGAAGCACTCATCCGATCAAGTCGTAGTGCTTCCATCAGAAAACTTTTAACAATCCCAGGAGAATGGTCACCTATCTGCCTAAGTACCACCGCCGTTGATATTAGACTTGGAATGTGCCATTGATCAATAGCTAGAGCGTTCGTGTAATCTCTTAATGCAGCTTTATAAAGGCCCTTCGACTGCTGAAGCAAACCTGCATAATATATTTCATCATCAATAACCTTTTTGCTTTGCTTTCTCACGAATATAAGACCAATAAAAATGTAACATCTGAGATACATGAAAATGATTTAGCATAGTAAGCACTAAGCAATGCATGAGGAGATAATGAGTGAAATATATCTACCAGAAATATACAATCGAGAAGCGGAATAACAACTAATGGCCTCGGATTTGGAAAGACAGATCTCTGCATCTTGCCACTGAGATGATTTAATGTAGATGGAAGCAAGATCATGCCACATTTCCAGCTCCATAGTTCTATTGCGGCTTCCTTCCTCCTGTTACATAAATGAACATTAAACATATAACTTCTTCCTTTCAACAAAAAAATCATAATAATAATAATTTCCTGAGGGGTTGGAAAGCGGCAGCAAGCAAGACAACAGAAAGGGATTCGTACGAAAGAAGGTAGTTAAGTCAAAGCTGCAACACTTGGTTGCACATTAAAAGAGCCAAAAAAAGATGAAGATGAAAGCAGAGGATTAAGATGTGCTTAATTAAAAAATAAAACTCATGTTTGACTGGGCACGGAGTTTAAGAAAGAACAGAAATTTTTTAAACTTATGGTCTAAAACAATCCATAGATATTTGCGTGGCTATAAATCATCTCATTACGGGTAAAATGGGAAGTTTGGCTTTTCAGGTAGCATGGTCTCTTCTCTTATCATGGTCTCTTCTCTTATCAATCACTGTCGCAAATCTCATCGTCAATGATTGGGTTAATAAATTCTATAGAACTTCATGACAGTGGATGAAATAACTTGCAAGCCAGAGCTAATAACTCGAATGTTCAAGTTAATGTACCAACTTCAATGAAACTTCATAGTATAATTTTTTTTACCTTGAAACAAAACTCTATTCGAGGGAAAGAATCTACGCCACTTAAGATAATTTCTCCTACTACCAGCTCTCTAAGAAACTAAAGACTTAATTTTAATCCTTCCATAATCATGAAATATTGTCAGCGACACGTGGAGAATATAGCCAAAATATATAAAAATGCCTCCTACTTGTAAAAGACCCAAAGAAACTTATAAAGCCAACCTATCCCAACCCCCCAAAAGTGAACATTTTATTTGTACCATATTGAAAATGTAGACAGTTAGGCAATTCATGACAATGACAATGAACAGACTTCTCTGGCTTCAACAGAGAAGAAAGGTCATGCTTC